GAAACGTTATAGGAGGTAAAGAAGGGCCGGAATCGACTGCACACACTAAAGTTTTGAAAGATTGCTATTTTCGATATTAAAATTAGGTTTTTGTAAAGTTTTTGGCCAACCTCTTAGTTAGGAAGCAATTAGCATACGGCGGAAGTGGAAATGGTTTATAAAAAGGGAAGAGAAGGCGCGATTTTCATTTCTTTGGTGAGCGGTTTTCGGCAGAGTTATACAGAGTCAATAACTTGCATCGATCGAGACGGGGCCAGGGTTGAAAAGCCGCGAAGCGATTTCAACCTGACTAGACAATAGTATATTTTTATTTTAGAGCATTCATGATCTACGATCAATACCGGAAGAAGAGTCAACTCTTCAAGACCAACGTGCTGCTGATTCCGCTGGGTGATGATTTCAGGTTCCGGAAAGGCTAGTTTCCAAATTTTTTTTTTTTTAGATACCAGGATGATTTCGAGTGGGATAATCAGCACGACAATTACAAACGGCTCTTCGATTATATGAACAACAGACCAGAGTGGAACGTGAAGGTAGTAGATTTTTTCGGGTTAATACATTGTCTCAGGCCCGCTTCGGCACCCTGGCTGACTATTTTGATGCGTTGGAATCGAGGTTGAAGGAGGAGCGGAAGCAGCTGCCCATTTTGTCCGGCGATTTCTTCACCTATGCTGATCGTGACGATCATTATTGGAGTGGTTCGTGATCTTGGGCCTGCTTTTCTTCTTCAAGAAGGCTTTTTTTTTGGGTTGGGGCGGGTTCGCCGAAAGCTGCGTCGCGAAACTCATTTCGCCTAATTTTTTGGTCGTCTTCAGAGCTGCATTTTTCCCAAAAAGTCAACAATATGGACATTTTATAACTGAGGTACTAATTTTGTTAGCATAGATCTAGAAATTCCTTGCTCAAAATCGCTTAGTCTACCAAAATGTTTATAAAAAACAAAACTTTGAATCATTTATCATTCGTCAAATCAAAAAAGCAATAATCATTTCGAAAATTGTAGACTTTACGGTCAAAAATTCAGCTCTGACGGCGGAGAAAAATTTCGGCGAAACGGCTTTGGACGAAATGGGTTGACACGAGTGACCGGCTGTCTTTTTTTGGTGCCCATGGGGTTCAAAAGCAACAGCCTAGCTTGCGCAGAGTCTTTTGCTGCTTAAAGTCTACGATACAAACTCTGCAAAACGAACGGATTTAAAAATATCACGTTTTGAGGCGTAAAAAGCGCAGAATTTTCCGATGCGTGCTATGTAGCATGATGGCCCTTTTAATCTGACCGTTTTAGACAAAAACGTTTTGTTCGGAACAAAGCAGTTTTAACCAGGGTTGAAAAACCGTGTTGCGGATTTTCAAGCCTGGCCTCCTCTTGGAGCCATGAGGCATGCTACTTCCTAATCCCCTCGCAAAAAAATGAAACTGTAGCGCTTCTGACGCTTTAGGCTCTCTCCACTTCCGGCGCATGAAAATTGCCTCTTAACAAAAAGATTTTTCGATATCTTTACAAAAACTTAATTTTAATAGCGAAAACATCCGATTTTTATAAATCTGATATGTGCGCATTCATCTCAGCACCATTACGCATTTGATGACGTATGATCCATACCGGAAAAATCTTCACCTGAGGCTGTGGGTGCGGTACATACTCACGGAAGTTGCTAGCAAATATACAAAGACACTATACTTTACATGTATGACCAATCAAATATATCCACCAGCGTGGGATTGTGCGGTTTTTGAACGGAAAGGGCACTGAAAACGTATATATTTAGGCTACTTCACGTCAAGGCCCTTTTACAAGCACATGGATCGCGTCCTACAACACTACCTGAGGTCTTTTCCAGCGCCCTAGGCTGTACTTTTTTAGAACTGCCGAAATTTCCTACTCCCTGGCGCGCATAGACGGCGGCGGCGATCTGGACGATGGCGTTTTGTCAAAATTGGTTGAGGTGCGATCGGTCCACGTAGCGGCGTTTTCGCATTAGCGGGAGGGACCACTTTTCCTCCTCCAATCTAACGTTTTAAACTGGGTTTTAGATTTTCTAGACTGTTTTTTACTATTCCCAAGCTCAAAAGCATTAAAAAGAATGTTATTAAAAATACAAAAATCGATGTTTTTGTATTTTGAAATCTATTTGACCGCTGTTCGACTATAATTTCATTATGAAGTTTTCCGGGTTTTTTTTTTGGTTTAGTTTTCCACTTAAAATGTCGGGCTGTTATAAAGACTATTGAGATACGTGATTTGAATTGCTAGGGATGGATCAAAACCCAGGAAAAAAGAATTAGGCCGGTCTCCGATAGACCACCCCCCGATAATCCGAAATTTGCCTAGAATCAGAAGCCCGTTTTTGCAGGTCCGCCGAGCCCTCTCGCTTTTCCAACATCATGACGGCGTTACTGGCACGGCCAAAGCGGCGGTGGTGAATGATTACGGAGAAAAGTACGGGTTGTATGACGTATTACAAGATTTTCCAGGATGCTCTCCGCGCTGAAACGTGCCGAGGAGGTCACGACGATTGCCATTGGTTCTTTGCTGGGCAACAAGGTAGCCGGAAGTTGATAGTAAAGCATCGGAACTTAGTCTCGTATATCGATGTCGTTTGACGAATTTCGGGCCAAGCAAGACGCGATGCCGGAAGCGCGTGTCTTTGAGGCCGATAGGTAATTTATTGGGGTGTTTTTGTCGCATTCTCGTGGAGAGGAAGACAAAGTTTGGTACTTTAGGATTCGCGGGGGGGACGCCAGGTAATAAATTTGGTTCCCCCGTTCCGTTCTTTCGTTTCTTTTATGGGCGTATTTTTACGGATATTTTTGCTATTGGCCGAGAAATTCCTGATAATATAATGACCAGTATTTTAATAATTTTATTACTAATATGTAGCTACAAAATCTGAAATTTTCAGCGAAAATTAGCCATTTTTTTGCCGAAGAATTGTTTTATTTTGATAATTTTTAATAGTCAAAATATTTTTAAAAACCTCCCTGTATTTAGATGAGCAAATTGGGGCTAAGGAAAAATTTTATTAGGAAAATCTCTTTTAGCTCGCTCCTACTTTTCAACACTTTGGCGCATGCGCGGGCTGAAGTTGCCTGTATCCAGGTGGCTTCTCCTAACATACGAATCAAGGTATGCCCAACGATTTCCTTCTGGATTTAAGGCTCTAATTTAACTTTAGCGCTCCGACGGCACCCCGCCCGAACAACAGCTTGCCCCAGTTCTCGGCCACCGAGGCGGTCGCGTTCACAGCCAACCCGGACGATTTGAGGCGAGGCTTACGGTTTTGGATTCATTAGCGGAACCGAGAATTTTTATTGAAAAAAAATTTCGGCCTTCTTGGTTGTTGAGAAAGATTTCGGCTTAAAATATAGTAAAATTTTGCGATTTACATACGTACTTTTATTCAGTACAAATCGTTATTAACAAAAAATTGGGTTAAAAAAAACAAAAAAAATTGAGCCATTTTTGAACAAAGTTTCACATTTTTTACGTTCTTTGGCATTATCGGGGGGGAGCGTTTTTTTTGTATGTTTAGAAGGACCTTGACTTAATAGGAAGTATTTTAATAATGTTTTTAGTGGAACCCAAAAAAACTAACATAAAAATGCCAAAAAAATTTTCGGGAGTCGAAATTGTGGCGGCGGCAGTTTTGTTGGAAAACCGATAATTTTTTACTAAAAATTTGTAAGGTTTTTACGTTTAGGATTAGTAAAGCCAGTTTAGAACTTCCGATATTTCGTTTTTGAATTGGATTCTATGGAAAAAAACGTTTACGTTACTATGCATTTTTGCTTATCGAAATGAATTTCTCTTTGGAGAGAGGGAAAAAATTAATTTGCATCATTCTACAAGAACCCCCTCCCCCGCCAGCAAACCAGAATCTGATTAAATATGTTTATCTTCCTTTTTAGCTGTGCTTCTGGGCAGAGGTCTCAGCCCTTGCATCCGAAGTTTTTGAGCTACATTGGATGGACGAGCCGTCGACCGCTGAGCTGGTGCTCGTCAAAGGCCGAGCAAAACCGGAAGGGTAAATATTTGATCGGAATCCTAGCCACTCTTTCTAGTCTTGACGATTTCTTCGAATTCGAGCAAAGCAGCGGAAGCGTCGAGCTATCTAACTCCTTACTGACGGCGGTCTTCAGTGGCAACACCGGTTTTTTGAAGGTAATTTTTTGGCACTGACGCTTTAGGGGGGGTTGGCCATTTCCTTACTTTAGCCTAAATTTCTTGATCTTGATCTTTCTTGACCGTTTTGATATTACGATTTTCGATATTCTGACATTTCATAATCTGAAATTTTGATATTAGGAGTTTCGATATTATTAAATTTCGCGACTATAAGTTTCAACATTTTAGGTTTTGACATTGTGGTTTTTGACATTCTGAGCTTCACCATAATATTCAGGGTCCGAAAAACATCCATCATCCTCAATCATCATCAGAGAGAAACAAAGGCAGCTAGCGGAAAAACTTAGTTTCACGCCACTACTATTAAGGGCCCTATGCGTCAATTGATTGACTGTTTGGTATTTCTGCGTCACCTGGTAACTTGCAATGTTTTTACACAAAATATTTATCGCACCTATTTACATCACAAATTATACAAAATGGTTACAATTTATCACAACAATCGAAATTAAGGCCGTAAGGGAGAACCTGGCCGTCCTCAAGCAACAATCCTTTCAGTTTTCTCGCATAATGGTCGATTCTAACAGGTTGTTTGTAAATCTTTCCATACTTCTTTTGAATTCTCCAAAGAACGCAACCCATCTATGGTACAAGGACTAGACCACAAACCACCATACCCGTAAGATTCAGGAATATTGAGCACAACTTGTAGATAGTAGTAGATTAAATCCTCCATACGAACGCAGCTGGTGAGACGTCTGGAGGCATCGAGTGTCATCAGTTGGTTGGGCGAACGTGTCTCATAGAAATATGGACCTTCATCGAGGGAAAGATGGTCGTCGTCGGTAGTTACGGTAGCAGGAATAGTTGTTTTGAGAGGATGCAAGCTCATTGAAGCGATGACTGATGGCAAACCCCAAAATTTCACGGTTATTATAGTTTTTCCAGAACCCCAGGCAACGCATTTTCTCCGATTTCTCTTTGAAAACTGGCTGAAAATGAAGCTAATCATCCCAAATTGAGCTAATATCTCTAAAATGACTCATCGAAAAGTGGCTTGAAAAAATCATCGGAAAGCGGAAAAAGGTGAATCATCATTAGCTGCAGTTAAAGAAAAGCGAAAATAACCTTTCTAAAAACCTTGAGACCCCAAAAAGCTGAATCATCATTAGCTGCAGTTAAAGAAAAGCGAAAATCTAGCTTTGAAAATTAGCCCCATTATGCTGGAAGGCTGAGTCACGGTCAACTCAATGGCCCCAGAGTGAGAAAATTAGCTACAATTCAAAGCCATTTCCCTCGAAAGCAGGGAGATGCAACAAGGTCAGACGCCCGATGCGCAGGGAGAGAGGAGGGTTACCAACCATAAAAGCTCCGCTGGAGCTAGCTCTAAGCATTCGGATTTTTGGCTATAGAATTTTTATCCCTTGTTTTTTATTCCTTATTCTTATTTTTGTGCTTAAGCTTTATATGTATGTGTAACGTTCTTGTAGTTTTCGTCCTGACGATATTGTTTATGAATAATTTATTTACAATTTTAGATCACAATAATAATAATCAAAAAGGAAAAATCAATAACTTTCAAATTTTTACAAATGGAAAAACAAAATTATTTTTGGGAATAATTGGAAATATTCGTTTTGAGATGGGGTCGAAAAGTAGAAGTAAGCTCATTAGTATTAGGATTAAGAAAAAAGGTAATTTCAAATATCTTTCTTCCAATTGGTTTTTCGGTCTTCTTCGTGCTTTCTCGAGTTGTAGCTTCCGCATGAGGAGAATCGTCTGTTACGATTACAAGAGGTTTTTCCTCAGAAAACTCGATGGCTTGCCGGCAGTTAGAGCGAACGTGCCGGGTTAAATTTGAACCAGTAGAAAAGGATTTATTACAGAAGCGGCAAATATAGGCTGACCGCTTGGTTACTGTAGAATCCATAGGAAGAAAACAATAAATGAAAAGATTTAAAGGAATGAATTCTGAGCTTCCTAGATTCCTTTTATAGTTTCATTGCATAGGAGGCGGGCAGTACGCAATCGAAATACTGCCTGATATAAGAGAGTACAAAGAAGTCATCGTTTTTGATACTTTTGAAGAACTTGATGAAATCATAAAACGTGGTTCCCTGACACATTTGGTGAATGAAAACTATGCAAAATGGGCCACATGTTTTTGTGCCATTGGCTTGATGTTGAATATCATTAATCAAATAACGTGTAAAATTTTTACGTAGCCACTTTAGAATATCACCTTTAGGTGGTTGGCCTAACGCATCAAAATAGTATGCTGTGCCTCCACTTGTGTATATTGCAACCCAGTGACTTCCGGGCTTTCCAGACTTATCCAGGTTTACCACAAATGTGCCTTGAACGTCGATTTCAGGTAAATTATTACACGAGAAGCATCCACGATATTTTACACGTGTCAAATGATTGTTGGAAAGAAGGCGGTTAATTTGCGAATTGTTCATTTCAAATGGCCAATGTTTGAGCCTGTCTGGTTATATCCAAGGTCAGTTTATCCATAAATTCGGCGTGGACGATACAATATAGGCCTCCAGCTGGGACCTTTTTCGAGAATTCGAGGTCGAATGTACACTGACCAGCAACTGCCATGTCAAAACTATCGACACCACCGTCAGCGTCAGGTAAGAGCTCAAAAACTTGGACACATCTCGAGTCACCAAAGGTTTGTGTACCTATACCATTAGTTAGGTTGCTTCCGGTCATGCCAGTACCCTCTTGCATTTGGGTGTAAGCTTCCGTAGCCCCCATACCAGCTTTTTCCCAGTTTAGATTCCAGGATTTATGGGGGACAGTTTGACCCGCAAAATGCACGTTGACATTTTTGAGATTGTAATTATTGAAACGCCAAGGATCCGTATCATAGGTACCAATAAAGCCGTCATTTTTCACCAAGCCTATAAAAAGTCGACGCGGAATTTGGTTAGAATTGAAAAGTTGAGTTTCTGGTAGTTTTGTGATGCCTTCCGGTAGGAAGAAACTTCGAGTCTGATAGCTTCTCATTGGATAACTGGCTTTCTTCCCACTGGCGAGTTGTTTCTCAATGGCAGCCGCCGCTGAAGGATAAAGTTGATATTCGGCCAGGACGAGGCGTATATCGTCAATTACCAGTTTCCATTTTTTATTGGTAGAACCATAGCCTCTAATCAAAAATTCATCGCTTTGTCGATGTAACGTCAATTGAATATCCGTATTATTAAGCAGAAGACGATTGGAACTGGCAATATTAAGATCAAGAGGGCAATTTACTTGCACTGATTTGCCGTCCATGAAAAGAACACTCAAGTTCTCAAAACCATCGTTAGTCACGAGCTCACTACCCGAGTCGTTGGCATCGTATAGCTGCGTGTGACCATGGTTATATTGCTTGACGTTCTTATCAGTCATGAATTCTGCATTTAGAAAAGCCCTATAGGGATAAAGATCCCCAGTATTTTCAACTTGCGTTCCTCCGATATTTAGTGTAATTTGTTTCCAAAAAGCGCGGGCCGCGTACTGAATAGGTGCGCAACGTTCCACAAATTCAATTTTCGTGGTGTCACCATCTTTAGTTAGTTGTGAATGTTTGTACCCTTCTCCCCTTGTCGTTGACAAGACGCAGTGTCATTGTCAGATAGGAACGGGCAAAGGAAATAAAGTATGGCTCTTTCATAATTCGAAAAGTATAGGGTCCTGTTTGGTTTAAGCTACTATTTTCTGGGGCAATGCTGCGAAAGCGCATAGATTGAACCCCTACAACATGTTGAATAGGTTCAAACAAAGAAAGTTCGCTGGAAAATGCCAACTCGGGGTCGGCCTCAAAAGCTTTAATCAAAGACATTACTTCAAAGGTGGCACTGAAGTCAAAATGACATGTTTCCGTCGCTGGTTTCCTTTTCTACTTTTTGGAAAGGGGCTGAGAGGTGGTAACAAAGCGGGAGCCCTTTTCGTTGATTTTTTAGTCTTTTGGATAACCTTTACATTTTTAACTGGCAAGTCTACAGCTTTTTTTCAACGGTAAGAGAAATTTACTGTCACGAAACGCAAGGTTTCGGCCATTTCCCTTTTGAAGCTTGGGTGTAACAACATTAACACGTTCGCCAAAAGCCCAATGGACTGACATCGGGTCAAAGAGAGAATAACTATTGTCAAACATTTTTTAGTAATGAGAATGACGGGTTAGTAAACCCTTTTAAAGTGTAGCAAGGCAACCGACTTGTTAATAATTAGTGGAACTTCTTGGTCATCCGCATCAGTAATTTGCAACTTGAACGCATTAAAGTATCCCTGTTTTACCGGATGGTAGACTGGAGGGTTAAAACTTTTGCGAATAACTCCCCTGGTTCAACATCGTTTGGGATAGTACGAAGCACTTGTCGATATTGGCCGCCGACTAGGTGGGGTTCTATTAGGTCACAGTGAACCCGTAGACTCCTACAACTTGCCTTCAAATCAGGGAGATATGTTGCGTATCCAGATGAAATGAGCTGTTTGTTTTCAAATCCAGTTAACTGCCAAAGTGTGTCGGACAATTCAATTTTATCAACTAACTTGTGGTCTATCTCAAAGTTGAAACGTTTCTGGCTTTCATCGTAATCAAAACAAACTCCATAGTTTTCCAAAGCTTTATTTTTTAGCTCAAAGGAAAAACTATCTGTAAAATTTTGGACCAAGTTTATGGGAACCGTCTCCGCGGGTATGGCCACTTTCTCGGGCGAATGGCCAGTAGATATGTCGGCATCCATTTCTAGAGGGGACGCAGGAGGCGAAGGGGAAAATTGTGAGATTACTGTAAGGTAATCAGTATTTGTCTCTAACGTTTTTGGAGGCTCTTCGTCTGTTTGGTTCGGGTTTTGCATTACTTCCAGGGTCTTTTCATCAATTTGCAGGTCTGTTTGCTCTCCATTAGAGTCCACGGGGGTTTCTTGAACGACTGCTTGCGTAGGATAATTGTCAGATACCTGACCAACTTCATTACTCTGCAATGAATCATCTTTTGCAGTACTTTGAGGTTCCGGTTCTTTGGTTGGCAATTCTTCTACGTTTGATGTTGAGTT